TGCTTCGGCGGGCTGGGCGCAGCCCTTCAGGCGAAGGCCATGGGCGAGGATCGTGCCTTGAGGTGAGGGCTATCAGTAGGTCGGGCGTGTCCTCCTACAGGAGAGTTTTGGAAAAAAGAAACAAATACCCACAAGTATTCAAAAAATGCCCCACGTACCAGAAAAATCGTGCCCAGACAATGTCTTAAAGCATTCTTGGATACTCCTCCTGTAGAGGGACACGCCCGGATTAAGGCTATCACTTTCGACCCTTCCTCTTCCCCTGCACCCTCCCTCAGCTCGTGCCTTCCTCCTCCCCAGTGTATCGTGCCCACGCTCTTTCTCTCTCTCTCTCTCTATCTTTCTCTCTTCCCCCTCTGAAGTCCATTCCCCCTCTCTCTGCCCGCGACCTGGGCGCAGCTCTGACGAGGGCCAACTGGCTCTTCCAGATGCTGGAGCGACATCTGCGCCGAGTGCGTTGGAGGGATCGTCATGCGCCCAGGGGCAGACTCGGGGACCCGGCCCCAGCACTGCCCGGTACAGGGCACCATTCCTGCATGGTCCCAGTGTGGCTTGCTGGCCAGGGTCTGCCCTCGTTGGCAACCAGCAGCAGCAGGCTGCGAGTCGGGGCTTCCCCAGGCGACGGGTGTCCCCCCCTGGCAATCCCTCCTGGGCACAGGGACTGATCAAAGGCGGTCCGTTCGCAGTTCTGGAACTTTGGTTGGTCAGTGATCATCTTCCCTCCTCCTCATCCGTCCCTCCCCGTCCGTCCCTTCCTCCACCTGGTGGCTCTCGGGTCATTACTAGGGCCTTTGGCGGCCGTCAGGGAAGATCTGGGCACTCCCAGAAAGCTCTGGACAAGGCGCAGCCGCTGGAAGGCACCCAGAGGCTGGAAACCTGCTGAGGACAGACGAGAACGTCCGAAAACCTCAAACCTCGAACCTCCAAAACGTCCTCCCCATCTCCTCCTCCTCCTCCTCCTCTTCCTCCTCCTCTTCCTCCTCCTCCTTCTCCTCCTCCTCCTCCTCCTCCTCCTCCTCCAGCTTCTTTTCCTTATGAAGAACTCCTCCCTGTCGCACCCCGAGGCCAAATCGTAAGGGCGGGCCGGGCGTTTCGACTGAGACGGCCTTACCACTTTTGAGCCTGAGGCTTGAAAGCGAGGGCGGGTGTCTTCCAAAATGTGGCTCTCGCCCTAGCGCCGCGCACGTTCGTTTCAACCATGTGCAAAAGCTTCATGGATTGAGGGCGGGTGGTTTTCAAGATGTGGCTCTCGCCTTAGCACACCGCACATTCGCTTAATAATCTGCAAGAGCTTCACGGATTGAGGGTTGTTTTCGAAATTTTGTTCTCGCCTTAGCGCTGCACACGTTCGTTTCAAACATGTGCAAGAATTTCACGGATTGAGGGCAGACCGTTTTAAAAATGTGGCTCCCGCCTTTGGACCGCACACATTCGTTTTAAGAAGCTGCAGGAGCTTCACATATTGTGGGTCGATTTCAACATTTGGCTCTCGGCTCAGCGCCGCACACGTTCGTTTTAAACATGTGCAAGATCTTCGCGGATTGAGGGCGGGTCGTTTTCAAGATGTGGCTCACGCCATAGCGCCGCAGACACTCGTTTTAACCATTCGCAAGGGCTTCACGGAATGAGGGCGGTTCTTTTTTCAAAGTGTGGCTATCGCCTTAGCGCCGCGCGCAGTCCATGTAAACATGTGCAAGCGTTTTACTGATGTGCATGGCTAAAGGTACCAGAAACGATGCTGTGGCACGATTCAGGACTGTCAGGGCGCAGCAATTACGTTGATTTGCTGCGTTGAAGTTCCAGGGCTGCTGTTCTGGCACGATTCAGGATCGCCACGACGCAACAGTCAGGTTGACTCGTGGCGTTGAAGACCTGAGAACGGTGTTCTGGTACGCTTCAAGATCTTGATCCGGCTGTCCCCCTACGGGGTAATTCCCTCAATGGAAATGAGCCCTTGTAGGGGCTTGTGAAGAGGGAGGGTGGAGGCAGGGTGTATTCCAATATCGTTGATGAGTCTTGGGTTTACACTGGTCCTCCTCCTCCTCCTCCTCCTCGTCCTCCTCCGCCTCCCTTTCCTCCTCCGCTTCCGCCTCCTCCTCCTCCTCAACCCCCTCCTCCTCCGCCCCCTCCTCCCAATCCGCCTCCTCCTGCTTCTCCTCCTCCTCCTCCTCCCTCCTCCCTCCTCCCTCTTCTCCTCGCCCTCCCCTCCTCGCCCCCTGCCCCCAGGCCGCCCGAGCCCGTGGCCGCGGCGGGCCCGCCCCACTCCATGGCCCAGGAGGCGGACAGCCAGCTCGGGAGGCTCTGCCCCGCCGCTGCCTTCTCCTCAACGCGGGGGGGGGGAGGAAGGGAGAGGAGGGGCAGGTAGGGGAGGTGAAGGGGGAGAGGGGGATGGGGGGGGAGGGCGGAGGATGAGGAGGGCAAGGAGGGGGAGGAAGAGGAGGAGGAGGGGGAGGAAGAGGACGACGAGGAGGAGGAAGAGGAGGAGGAGGCCTCCTTCTCGTCGTCCTCCTCCTCCTCCTCGTCCTCCTCTAACTCCTCCTCATTGTCCTCGTCCTCGTACTCCTCCTCGTCCTCCTCCTCCTCCTCTTCCTCCTCCTCTTCCTCCTCCTCCTCTTCCTCCTCCCCCTCCTCCCCCTCCTCATCCTTTCCCTCCTCCTCCTCCTCCTCCTCCGCCTCCTCCTCCTCCCCCTCCTCCTTCTCCTGTTAAGCGCGCAGGGAAGGAGACGCCTGGCGGAACAGGCGCGGCAGACACGACCTATTGGACGGGCCTGAAGACGGGGAAGGTGGCCGCACCGTGGCCCACCATCGCCCTGGTCGTGGTCGTGGTCGTGGTCGCCGTCGCCGTCGTCGTCGTCGCTCTCGTCGTAGTCGTCGTCGTCGCGGTTCGCATTCGTCGAGGTCGTCGTCGTGGTCACGGTCGTTGTCGTCGTCGTCGTCGTTCGTGTTCGTCGAGGTCGTCGTCGTAGTGACGGTCGTCGTCGTCGCCGTCGTGGCCGCGGTCGTGATCGTGGTTGCCGTCGTCGTCGTCGTCGACGACGATTGTGCTCGTCGAGGTCGTCGTCGTGGTCACGGTCGTCAACATCGTAGTCCTGTCGTGATCGTGGTCGTGGTCGTTGTCGTCGTGGTCATGGTCCCCGTCGTGGTCGCCGGCGTCGTTACCGTCGTGGTCGTCGTCGTGGTCGTGGTCCCCGTCGTGGTCGCTGTCGTTGTCGTGGTCGTCGTCGTCGTGGTCGTCGTGGGCGTCTCCTTCGGCTTCGTGGTTCAGGTCTTGGTCTCGTCGTGATCATTGTCCTAGTCATCGAGGTCACGGTCGTGGCAACCGTCTTCCTCCTCCTCCTCCTCCTCCTCATCATCATCATCACCATCGTCATCACCATCATCATCATCATCATCCTCCTCCTCATCCTCATCCTCATCAGAATCATCATAATCATCGGCATCATCACATTCATCATCATCATCATCATCATCATCATCATCATCATCATCATCATCATCATCATCATCATCATCATCATCATCATCATCATCATCATCATAATCATCATCATCATCATCATCCTCATCACCATAATCATCATCACCATTATTATTATTATTATTATTATTATAATCAGAATCATCATCCTCATCCTCATCCACCCCCTCCTCCTCCTCATCATCATCATCTCCATCATCATCAGCATCATCATCATCCTCATCCTCATCCTCATCCCCATCAGCAGCATCATGATTATCATCATTATCATCCTTATTGTCCTCATCGTCATCCTTGTCCCTTGTCGCCGCCGAGAAGCCAGCAGCGGCAATAGCAGGGCGACGAGGGAGGGGACGGGTATTGGCTGCGAGCAGCTGCCATTGAAATGGTTCAAATGGGGCCCGCCAAATTGCGAGCGCTGCGAATCGGTGGAGCCAACGGCATGCTGTCGTCGTGGTCGTCGTGTTCGTGGTCGTGGTCATCGAGGTCGTGGTCGTGGTCGTCGTCGTCCTCCATCTCCTCCTCCTCCTCTTCCTCCTCCTCCTCCTTCACATCATCATGATCATCATCAACATCATCATCATCATCAGCAACATCATGGTCAACATCATCGTCATCAGCATCATCATCACCGTCACCATCACCATCACAAGCACCATCACCATCATCATCACAATCACTAACAATATAATCATAATAATCGTTTTCATCGTCATCGTCATCACCACCATCATCATCAGCATCATCACCATCATAATTGGCACCATCATCAGCATCGTACTCAGCATCAGCATCATCATCATAATCAGCAGCATCAGCATCAGCATCAGCATCAGCATCAGCATCATCGTCACCATTATCAATAACGTCAGCATCAGCATCGTCATCGTCATCATCGTCATCGTCGTCGCCATCGTTAGCGTCATCGTTATCGTCATCGTCATCGTCATCCTGCTCCTTCTCCTTCGCCTCCTCCTCCTCCTCTTCATCATCATCATCCTCATCCTCATCCCCATCGTCTTCCTTGTCGCCGCCGACAAGCCAGCAGTGGCAGCAGGGCGACGAGGAGGGAGGGGACGGATATTGGCTGCGAGCAGCTGCGATTGAAATGGTTCAAATGGGGCCCGCCAAATTGCGGGCGCTGCGAATCGATGGAGCCGAAGGCGTGCCTTGTCGCACAGAGCAGCCAACGGCCTTGAAACGTGGACAGTCACCCTCACATCCTCGCGCCGTGAAGAGGTGGTGACTGAAGGTCTCTGATGACTTTCGGCCTCCGGGTGTCCTCCTCGCGCCTGGGGCCGTCAAAAAATGCCTCGGGATGAAGAGCTGGCAGTGTGCCAGGGATCCAAGACCTCTGGGGGGCCACGCTGCGAAAAAAACACGACGCTGGATGGCAGGGAAATAGCTGACGGCCTTGAAACGTGTGCAATTCGGCTGGAAATTCGCGGGCCCGAGGGGCCAGAGGCGTGCTAAGATCTTCCGTCACTGGGTAACAATATAACAGTATTTCTAGTTCGCGCGCGCGGGGCGGCTCCTGGGGGCTCCTGGACGAAAGGTACCCCGACCAACCCCCGACCAACCCCTGGGCAGGTCCTGTGAGCGCGCCAAAAGGGCCCCGAGACGCCCCAGGGACGGTCCAAGAGGGCTCCGAGTCGCTGAAAGATCGTTCCAAAAGGCCAAACATAGCCCTCAGACAGCCTTAGAAGCCGCCAAGAAGCCCCAAGAGAGTCTCAAGAGGCCCTCCAAGAAGGTCCCAAAAAGCAAACCTTGCGCCATTACCTTGGGAAAACGTGCATTTCGCGCATATACCGTTCTGGGTGGTCCACAGCGTCCAAGACTGCCCAAGCGCCCCCAAGATCGCCCCAAGAGGACCCACCAGGCCTCCAAGACAAGCCCAAGAGAGTCTCAAAACAGTCCAAGAGAGCCCCAAGAGGCGCCCAGGATCCCCCAAGACGGCCCCAAGAGAGGGAACTCCAAATGACATTTCGAGCTTTCCGCTCCAAGGACGCCTCCGAGACCGCGAGCGGGTTCCCAAGAAGCCTCCAAGAAGCTCCCAAGAAGCCCAAAACGGAACCCCAAGAACCCCCAAACGGCCCCCAACACGCCTCAAGAGGCTTCAAAACTACCTCCAAGAGGCTCCCCAGGCGCCTGCCGAGAGATCCAAACAGCGCCGCCACATTGACAACGAGCTCTCGCGCAAACGGCAGATGTGAGGCTGCATGGTGCCGAACCCTGCCAGAGCATTCTGCAGAGGGTCCTCCGAGGCAGATTCTAGGTGCTTGCTGCCGAAGCGAGAAGCACCTGGAAAGCCCGTGCAAAAAAAAGCAAGCCATTCCTCCGACAGCTCTCCGGAACGTCCAGACCAGTCGCCCCCAGACTGCTCCACGAGAGCTGCTTCAGCCCCAACATGCATCATTCCGAGCGAAACGACTCAGAACTGGGAGCCTCGTCGGGGCCTCGTGGGTGCCTCTTCGGTGGCATCTCGGAGTCGATTGGCCCTCCTTGGGGGGTCTCTCTGAGGCATCTCGGGGCGCTCTTAGTAGGGACCATGCGTAAGCCTCGGAAGCGTATCAGAAACGAAAATGCGAGAACGCACAATTCATTGATTGCTCCTAGGTTGTTCAATCAATATCTTTGGCCTCTCGAGGTCTTCCTCGGAGGTCTCTTGGGCGATGTTTGCGGCCCCTTGGAGGCCGTCAGGAAAATGTTCTGGCGGTCTGAAAGCCCTTGTGGGGTGTCTCGAAGCTGTCCTGGGCCGTCTCGATGCCCTCCTGGAGCTCCCTGGGAGGCCTCGGAGGGCGGTACCGGGGATTTGCCGAAGATGTTCCCGAGGTGGGAAGCACCCTGGGTGGTGGGTGGGGGTATCTGTTACATGCGCATCCATCCGTACATGCATACACGTGAACAACAATATGCATTTATACATCGATATGCGTATATATCTAGAAATATGCACGTGTGTAAATGAGCATAGATATTGTCCAGCGTGGACACCAAGCAGTGATTTCTTGCAGTCTATGCGGCGCCATCTGGGTGGTGCAGTGGTGCAATCAAGGTGGTGCAAACCATCTGGTGCAGTGTGGTGCAAAGCAATACGAAGTAATGCAAAGCAATGCAAAACGATGCAAGAAGATGCCAAGACATGCAAAGCAATGCGATGTACAGCAATGAAAAGAACAATTCAAACGCAAAGCAATGCAATGCGTTGCAATGCGATGAAGAAACGCAAAGAAATGCAAAGCATCGGAAAGTATTGGTAAGCAATGCCAAGCAGTGCAAAACAAGATCTAGCAATGCGAAGCAATGCAAAACGATGCAAAACAATGCAAAGCAACGCGGCGACGGGCGGCGACAAGCCGGCCGGACCGCCAGCGGATCCGAGCGGCAACGGCGGCGACGGCGGCGACGAGCCGGCCAGACCACCGCCGGGGCCTTGCTACCTTAGACCAGAAGAAACAACTCCTGAGTGCAAGCGATGGTTGAGAAACGTCTACATACATATACACATGTACATATATATACACACTTGTAGTATATATGCATAGATACACATGTGTATGCCCATGCACACGCATGTGCATGTAACTCGGATGCCCTTATGGTTGGATGCATATATATATATACACATACATATCTATACATCCGATATGTATAAATATATGTGATTCCATCGGAACTAGACCGACGTCTGTGAAGACGAAGCGCATACATATTTATATATACATATACATATATATACAGATATGTGCGAGCGTGTGTATCCGCCATCGAGCCCTGGGGCACGAGTTGAGTTGTCCTCTGGTCATTGGCCTAATCCTTTAAGCCTCGGTCCTCAATCCTGAGCTTCCTTTAGTAGGCCTGGGCCCCTAGCTCTCAAATCTCCCAGTGATTGCCGCGTGCCCTCTAAGCTCCACCGAATATTCCCGCATGACTTTGTCAGGGCCAATAAGGTCCCAAGACGGGCCACTATGGCCCCAAGAAGCTGCCCCGACGGTCCAACGGTGCTCCGAATCGCCGCACGATCGGTCCAAGACGCCCAAGATGGCACCAAGAGCCTTTCCAAGAGGGACACGAGAGGCCAAAGTCATTGATGCTTCCCCCGTTTTTTAATATGGTTTGGGTTTTCCACTTTTTGAGCTTCCGACGCTCCAAGACGTCCCACGAGACCCCCAAGACCGCCCCAAGACGGCCCCAGAGGCCCCCAAGAGGGCCCGCAGATGGCCCCAAGACGACAAAAGAGGGCCCCAAGACGGCCCAAGAGGCGCCAAAGACGACCCCAAGAGAGGCTCAAGAGGGGGAGCACGAACCGAAAATCCTAGCCTTCCTCCGCCCCGAAAGGCGCAGCCAGGAGGCCCCAAGAGGCCACCAAAAAGGCACCCAGGCGGCCCCACCAAGAGGCCCCTAAGGGGCCCAGAAGAAGCACCAAAAGGCCCCCAAACAGCCCCCCACAGGCTTCAAAACTGCCTCCAGGAGGCCCCGAGAGGCGTCGACGAGATCCCAACGAATATCCAAGAGGCCTCAGACCCACAACCCAGGAACGATGGCGGGATGGGCCGAAGGTCATTATGTACGTATATGTATATGTATGTACGTAGGCTTGTATGCATGTATGTATATACGTATGTATGTATGTACGTATGTATGTGTGTAAATATGTATGTATGCATGTATGTGTGTAGGTATACTTGTATATGTGTGTGTATGTATGTATGTAAGTATGTATGTATGTATGTATGCATGTATGCATGTATGTATGTATGTATGTGAACATGTATATGTGTGTATGTATGTATGTGTGTATGTGTGTACGCATGTATGTATATATGTATGTATGTATGTATGTATGTATGTATTTATGTATGTACGTATGTACGTATGTATGTATGTATGTATGTGTGTAGGTATGTATGACAGTATGCGTGTATATATACATACATACATGTATGTGTATGCATGTATGCATGTGTGTGCGCATGTATGTATGTGTGTATGTATGTATGTGCGTATGTATGTATGTATGTATGTATGTAAGTATGTATGCATGTATGTATGTGTGTAAACATGCATTGGTATGTATGTATGCATGTATGCATGGGTGGGTGGGTGTGCATATGTGTGTATGCATTGATGTATGTATGGTTGTGCATGTGTATAGGTATGTACGGTTGCATGCACGTATGTGCATGTATGGATGTGCGTATGGACGTGTCTAGTTGTGCATGTATGTTTGCAGGGATGTGTATGAGTGTATGTATGTAGGTATGTATGCACACATGTGTATAACTGTGGATGTGTACATGTTTGTATGGGTGGATGTGTGGACGTATGCGTACGTATGCACGTATGCATTGACCCACGTATGTACATGGTGTGCATGTATATGTGCGTTTTCACGTATATATGCATGCATGCACGCATGTATGCGTGCATGCATGCATGCATGTATACATATACGTTTGTTTGTATGCATGCATATATGGATGTGTGTATGTGTGTATGCATGTATGTATGTATGTATGTATGCATGCATGCATGCACGCATGCATGTATGTATGTATGTATGTTTGTATGTATGTATGTATGTATGCATGCATGCATGCATGTATGTATGTATGCATGTATGCATGGGTGTGTGTGTATATGTATGTGTGTATGTGTGTATGCATGTATATATGGATGCCGATATACATAAATACATGTATGGCTGCATGCGTGCATTCGTACATGCATGTTTGAGTGTACGTATGTATGTATGCATGCATGCATGCATGTATGGGTGTATCTACAGGTATGCACATACCAATGTATCCCTCTCTCCCTCGCCCTCTCTCTCTCTCTCCCCCTCTTACTGCCTCAGGTGTTCCCCCAAAGGTTTCCACCGCGGATGTGGGAGCATATGATCCAACAGCCAAGCCGAATCGGTGGCCCAAAGCTTGACCAATGTTTGGCCACACGGCAGCTTCCAAAGGGCGGGGGGCGGCGGTGTTTCGCCGCAGGCGTCGCAGACTATGAACAGTGGAGGGCCGCCCACGTTGGTAGACCTCTGCGAGCTCCCCCGCGCTCGCGCGCCGCCTGGCAATCGGGGGAGGAGCCGAGCGGGGCGGCGAGGGGATGGGAGATAGAAGAGGAGAGCGGGGAGAGGGGGAGAGGAGGAGAGGAGGAGAGAGAGGATAAAGACCCGGGGGATGATGACGATGAGGAGGAGGAGGAGGGGGAGGAGGGGGAGCAGCAGGAGGAGGAGGAGAAACAGGAGGAGGCGCAAGAGGAGGAGGAGCAGGAGGAGGAGGAGGCGGGAGGAGAGAGCAGAGCTATCGAGGAGGGGGGAGGGCGGACAACGAGGTGGAAGACCAAGGGAAGGAAGATAAGGTTGAACAGAAAGAAGGATCAGGACGAGGTGGAGGACAAGGGACGAGGAGGACGAGGGACGCTGAGGAGGAGGAGGAGGACGAGGGGCGAAGGGGAAGAGGAGGGCGAGGAAGAGGGGTATGAGGACGAGCCGGGGGACAGAGAACAATGAGCCAAAAGCTACGCACTACCAACCAAAAAACGCAATGCGAATGCTGCAAACAAAGCGCGATTATGCCCTTTCCCGCCTCGATCCGTGCTCTACCCTCCCTGTCCCGCACCCTTCCCCTCGTCTTCGTCCTCGTCTTCCATCCGCCCCTAGTGCTACTGTTTCGGCGACTCTGCCACTCCTCCTCCTCCTCCTCCTCCTCCTCTTCCTCCTCCTGTTCCTCCTCCTCCTCCTCCTCATCCTCCTGGTCCTCCTCCTCCTCCTCCTCCTCCTCCTCCTCCTCCTCCTCCTCCTCCTCCCCCCCTTGCCAGTTCCTTATACATAACTCCTCCCCGTCGCACCCCGAGGCGTGTCAGTATGGCGGGCCGTGAGTTTCGCCTGGGACGTCCTCACCATTTCGTTGACTTGCAAGAGCTCCACGGATGGAAGGCGCGTGGTTTTCAGCATGTGGCTCATGCCTTAGCGCCGCGCACATTCGTCTTGGCCGTGTGCAGGAGCTTCACGCATGGAGGGCGGTCAGTTCACAACAGATTGCTCTTGCCGCAGCGTCGTGCACATTCGCCGAAGAAGACCGCAAAGAGCCTCGCGGATGGAGTGCGGGTAGTTTTTGAAATCTGGTTTCGACGTGGCGCCGCACACATTACTCTTGTAAGCTTGCAAGAGCTTCACGGATGGATGGCGGGACCCTTTCAAAATGTGGCTCTCGCCTTCGCGCCGCGCACATCCGCCTTGCAAGTTCGGAAGCTCACGGATGGAGCGCGGGTGGTCTTCAAACATTGGCTCTGGCCTCAGCGCTTCGCACAACCGTCCTTCTTATGAAAGCCGAGTGGTTTTCAAAGCGTGGCCCTCGCCTCAGCGCCGCGCGCACGCGTCGGGTAAGAGCGTGCGCTTAAGGGCTGCACGGGTGGGAGGGCGGGTGCTTTTCAGCATGGGGCTCCCGCCGAAGCGCCGCGTGCATTCGCCCCACAAAAGCCTGCGGCCGCCTCACGGGTGGCGGGCGGCACCTTCTCAGCATGCCGCTCTTGCCTCCGCGCCGCGCACGTTCGCTTCAACAGCGCGCGGTAAACTTCACCGACGGAGGGCGGCTGCTGTTCAACCTGTGGCTCTCGCCTCAGCGCCGCGCACACTCGCCCCAAGAGCTTTCAACCGTTGGACGGAGTTGGTTGATGGACGTCCTGGGAAGTGCGGTCGGGCACGACCTTGAATCCTCGGGGTGCAGCAGTCACGTTGACCCGCGGTGCTGAAGTCCCGAGAAAAGGTGGCGTTCTGGCACGGTGCAGGGCCGTCAGGACGCAACAGTAAACTTGATTCGCGGCGTTGAAGTCGAAAGAGAAGTGTTTGGGCACGGTCGAAATTCTCAGGCGGTTGTTTTCCACCGGGCACTTCCAGCATTGAGCATCAACTATTGTAGGGACCTGTGGCAAGGGAGCTTGGAGGGAGGGTGTATTGCAACATCGTTGACGCGTCTTGGGTTTGCAGTGCTCCTCCTCCTCCTCCTCCTCCTCCTCCTCCTCCTCCTCCTCCCCCTCTTTCTCATCTTCTTCTTCCCTCCTCCCCCCGCTCCTCATCCGCATCCTCCCTCTCCCTCCTCATGTACCCTTTTCTCTCCCCCCCGCCCTCACAGGAGCCTCTTCGAGCGGAGTGGGCAGCCGTGCCGCCAGCATTCACCATTCACCGACGACCAGTGGTGGCTCGCTGGCGTGGGCAACCTCTTTAAATGCAACACGGCCAACGGCACTGCAACTCACCCGATGGTTGAGGGGCTGGAGGCAGCACGAGGAAGGAGCAGGAGGAGGGGTGAGGAATGAGGAAGGCGTAGAAGAGGCAGTCACCAAAAGAAAAAGGGCAAATGCATGCGGCCACGACCAAGAAGGAGGGAGGATGAGGACGAGGAGGAGCTCCAATGTAGACTCAAGACGCACCAACGACGCTGCAATCAACACCCGTCCAAGATCCCTCTTCATAGCTCTCTACAGAAACGTATTTCCATTGCGGGAAATGCTCCATTGAAAGACAAAGGTCTGACAACCCCCAGACGTGCCACACGAAACAAATTCAGGGACTCCGGCGCCGCGAATCGACGGGACTGCTGCGCCCTGACAACCCAGGGCCGTGCCAGGACACCACTCATGGGACCTCCACGAAACCCGCGAATTAAAGCGACGGCTGCCCCGTGACAGCCCGAAACCGCGCCAGGCCATCGCTCTTGGGACTTCCACCAACCGAACCCCGGAAGCGGGCGCGGCCGTTCACAGAGAATGCACGCGGCGCCAGGGCGAGAGCCACGCTTTGAGCAAGGAGCCGCCGTCCATCTCTCGGAAGCCGGTGCAGAAAAGCGTAGGGCGAACCCGCGCGGCGCGAAGGCGAGAGCTACATTTTGAACATCGCCCGCCCTCCCTACGTTTCAGACAGCTGCAAGCTGGTACGCCGAATGCGCGCGGAGCTGGGGCGAGGCCCGCGCTCTGAGAAGCACACTCCCTGTCATCCTTGAAGCTGGTGCGAACGTGGAAGCCGAAAACGCTTGTCCTCCATCCTCGAATCCGCTGCGAAGTTCCGGCTCCAGGGTCACAAGTGGTGAGGAAGTCTCAAGCGAAACGCCCTGCCCGCCCTACCTGAGGAGGAGGAGGAGGAGGAGGAGAAGGAGGAGGAGGAGGAGGACGAGGGAGGAGGAGGAGAAGGAGGGAGGAGGGAGGAGGGAGGAGGGAGGAAGGAGGAGGAGGAGGAGAAGGAGGAGGAGGGAGGGAGGGACAGGGAATGAAGGAGGGGGAGGCGCAGGAGGAGGCACGATCTTGGACGTATCGCCCAATCGCATGCACTGCCCGCGCAAGTCGAGGGGTGCTCTCCCACGCGCGTTCAAGCGCGCAGGAGGAGGGGGGTCCACCGAGGAGGGAGCAGGACAAAGATGGTGAGGAGGACGACGACGAGGAGGAAAAGGAAGACGAGGAGGACCAGCGCAAACTCGAGACGCACCAACGATGTCGCAAATCACCCTCCCTCCAAATGCCCTCTTCATTCGTCTGGATAAGAATGTACTTGAGTCGCAGGGTACGCCCTATTGGAAAACAGCCGTCCGATAATCACCAATCGCGACCAAACATTCCTGGGACTTCGCCGCCGCGAATCAGCGTGAATGAAGAATCCGGATGGTTCTAAACTGTGCCAAAACATCGTTCCTGAGACTTCAGCATTGCGATTCAATGTGACTGCTGCGTCCAGGCAATCCTGAACCGCGTCGGAACATCATTCCTGGGACTTCAGCCATGCGAGTCCTTGAAACGGCTGCAAGCGTTAACAAAAACGAATGTGTGCTGCGCCAAGACAAACAAAAAAAACATTTGAAAAGGAACCGCCCTCCAAACCTTGAAGCTCTTGCAAGCGTTGACAACGAATGCGTACGGCGCTGGGGCGCAAAAGCGAGAGCCACATCCCGAAACGGAACCGCCCTCCATATTTCAAACTGCCGCGACCTTCTGCAACGACTGCGCGCGACGCTGCGGCGAGAACCACACGTTGGGCACCACCCGCCCTCCGTCCTGGAAGCTGCTGCAGGCTTCGGCAGCGACTGTGCGAAGCCCCGAGCGAGAGCCACATGTTGAAAACCACCTGTCCTCCACCCTTCAAGCCGATGCAAAGTTTGCATAGTCACCATCACAGATGCTGGAAGAAATCTCAAACGAAAAGCCCGGCCTGCCCTGTCGACACGTTTGGGGGTGCGACTCGGAGGAGCTCTGGTATGTAAGGATTTTGTATATAAGGAACAGGGATGGAGGAGGGGGGGCGGCAGAAGGAGGCAGGATCTTGGACGTGGTGCCCAATCAGATGCAATGCCCGTGCAAATCGATGGTCGCTCACATGCACGCTCTCGCGCGCATAGGGGATTTCCGTCGGTGAGGGATGAGGGAATGGAGGCGGAGGAGGACGAGGAGCCCCCGCCACGCATGATTGCATACATTAGGTCCTTGTAGAATCTATTTTCGTTGCAAGAAGAATCTAAGTGAACGACGGCCGTCTGAGGATCCTGAAGTCCGCCACAACGCTAACCCTGGGACGTCAACGCTGCGAATCAACATGACTGTCGCGGCCTGATATTCCTTACCCGAGCCAGACCACCACTCCTGGGACTTCAACAACGCGAAATAACGTGACTGTAGCTTCTTGGCAACTCTTGAACTGCATCATAATGCAATTCCTCGGACTTCAACCATACGATCCCTTGAAACGGCTGCAACATCTTAGCACGAATGTGCGCGGAGCTAGGGCGACAACCCCATGTTGAAAATGAACCGCCCTTCATCCTTGAAGCTGCTGCTGACGAATGCGCGCGGCACTCTGGCGGGACCCACATTTTGAAAGCCAAGCGACCGTCAAACTGTTGCAAGCTTTGAAATCGAATGCGCGCGGCGCTGAAGCGAGAGCCACACTTTGAAAACCACCTGTCCTCCATCCGTTGAGGTATTGCAGAGTTCCCATATCCTGGATCATAGATATGCTGATGATGTCTCAAGCGAAACGCCCAGCCCGCCCTGCCGACACGCTTGGTGGTGCGGCACGGAGGATTTCATGATCAGGATACAGGAGGAGGAGGAGGAGGAGGAGGAGGACGAGGAGGAGGAGGGAGGAGGGAGGAGGGCGGAGGCAGGACGAGGCAGGATCTCGGAAGCAACGCCCAATAGCATGCAATACGCGCGCAAATCGGGGGTCGCTCACACGCACGCTTCCGCGCGCAGAGGGGGCTTCCGTCGAGGAGGGACGAGGAGGAGGAGGAGGAGGACGACGACGACGACGGGGAGGAGGAGGCGAAGGAGGAGGAGGAGGAGGAGGAGAAGGAGGAGAGGGAGGAGAGGGAGGAGGAGAAGGAGGAGAAGGGAGACGAGGAGGAAGAGGAATAGGAGGAGTAGGAGAAGGAGGAGGAGGATGAGGAGAGGAAGAGGATGGAGGAGGAAGAGGAGGAGGAGGAGGAGGAGGAGGAGAAGGAGGAGGAAGAGGAATAGGAGAAGTAGGAGGAGGAGGAGGAGGAGAAGAGAGGAATAGAGGAGTAGGAGGAGAGGAGTAGAGCGAGGAGGAGGAGGAGGAGGAAGAGGAGGAGGCAATAGGAGGAGGAGGAGTATAAGAGGAGGAGGAATAGGGAGGAGAAGAGGAGAGGAGGAGGAGGAGGAGAGAGAAAGAGGAGTAAGAGGAGGAGGAATAGGAGGAGGAAGAGGAGGAGGAAATAGGAGGGGAGGAGGAGGAGGGAGAGGAGGAGATGAGGAGGAGGAGAAGGGGGAGGAGGAGGAAGAGGAATAGAAGGAGAGGAGGAGGAGGAGGAGACAAGAGGAGGAGGGGAATAAGAGGAGGAGGAATAGGAGGAGGAGGAGGAGAAAGAGGAATAGGAGGAGTAGGAGGAGGAAGAGGAGGAGGAATAGGAGGAGGAGGAGAAGGAGGAGAGGAGGAAGAGGAGGAGGAAAGGAGAGAAGGAAGACGGAGGAGGAATAGGGGAGGAGGAGGAGGAGAAGGGGAGGAGGAGGAGAAGAGGAATAGGAGGAGGAGGAGGAGGAGGAGGAGGAGGAGGGGAGAGGAGGAGAGGAATAGGAGGAGGAGGACTGAGGAGGAGGAGGAAGGAGGAGGAGGAGGAGGAGGAGGAGGAGGAGGAGGAGAAAAGGAGGAATAGGAGGAGGAGGAGGGGAGGAATAGGAGGAGGAACAGGAGGAGGAGTAGGAGGAGGAGGAAGAGGAGGAGGAGGAGGAGGAAGAGGAGGAAGAGGAGGAGGAATAGGAGGAGGAGGAGGAGCAGGAGAAAGAGGAAACATTCGGATGACGACGAGGGCTCGGCACGGGCCGCCGCCACCTCAAGGCTACCAAGCTACCCGCTCGGGGAGCCCTCGGACACTCGGGCGCCCGCGATCACCGGCAGCTCCGCGCCAGCAGCGCAGCGGCGCGCGCGCGCAGGGCGCTGGACACCGTGTGGCCGGCCGTGGCGGGGCGAAGTGCCTGGCGGGCCAGAGCAGCCAACATCGAGCCCTGGGACGACGACGACGACGAGGAGCCAGCGACGACGACGACGACGACGACGACGACGACGACGAGGAGCCAGCGACGACGACGACGACAACGACGAAGAGGAGCCAGCGACGACGACGACGACGACGACGACGACGACGACGAGGAGCCAGCGACGGCGAGGAGCCAGCGGCGACCGCGGAGGCTGGCCCTGGGAGGAAGGCGGTCCCTGGATCGGCGCCCATCTAACAGGGACTCCACTGACTAGACAGGCGCGCTCCACGACTCGCAAAGTACTTACTCGCAAATGGCCTGGATCCGCCGCGGGGGATCTACGATTAAGTATATCAAAGCCGACATCTATTTTTCGGACGTTTGCGAGTGGGCACTATGCGAGTACTGGAACGCGCTCGGTGACGACGGGCACTTTGGCCAGTGACCCAGCGAACCCAACATTTCCCGATGTGGGCAACGCTGCAATGCCACAGAGAAGCCCCAAAGTGGCAACTTTCGGCAACGTTCCAAAGTACAGTGGGCGGCGTGAATAAGGAACACTTGCTTTTCGACAGGGGCTCGGTCGTTCCTCAGGCTTGCATGCGTTATGTTTCGCTCCTTATGCGTTATGTATTATCCATCGTTCCTTATGCGTTATTCCTCGTGAAAAAATGGTTTCGTTCCTAATTGACCGTTCCTTAGGTCAGGCCGATGGCTGTACCTGTGACTGACTACCCGTTACGCTGCCCCTGACTGGAGGTGTCTCCCCGTTGCCGGGGGCAAGCCGGGCCGACCCGCACCGACCCCAGGGGGCCGCCGTCAGAGAACCGTCGGGGGGGGGCCAGAAGCCCTCTGAGATCCTGGCGGCTCAATGCCAGGAGGAGGAGGAGGAGGAGGAGGAGGAGGAGGAGGAGGAGGAGGAGGAGGAGGAGGAGGAGGAGGAGGAGGAGGAGGAGGAGGAGGAGGAGGAGGAGGAGGAGGAGGAGGAGGAGAGGAGGAGGAGGAGGAGGAGGAGGAGGAGGAGGAGGGGGGGGGGCAGAAGCCCTCTGAGATCCTGGCGGCTCAATGCTTTCGAGCTGGGCGCTTTCGCCTTTCTCTCGGGCCCCGGGGCCCTCGCAGATCGATCCGGCTCGAGAAATGACGCCGAAAGATGGGGTCTGGGGCTCTGGGCGCGATTTTTTCACGATGTTACAATTGTTTCGCTACGTCGGATCTCAGGGAAGGCGCCCGTGGCCCAAGGTGTCCCCAGCTCTGCGCTCCATTCTGGAGCCCCTGGGGCCCTCGTCGGGGCCTCGGGAGGGGTGTCCTGGAGGCTGCAGAGTACCCTCTCCAGAAAGCCTGGGGACACTCTGGGCCAGGGACCCACCTCTGGCGGCACCCGACAGCAAAAGATGGGAGGACCTCGTTTCTGGTCGAAACTCTCCCGCTCGAGCGTGTCGATGCCGTCGGCGGGAATCTCGAAAGAGAACTCGATCGAATAGCTCCAAGCCGCTATCGCTCCCTCGACCCGTCGCTTCTGCAGTGGGAGAAGGGAAGCGCCTTTCTCTCGAGCCCAAGCGCCGGCGCTTGATACACACATGTACACAAGCGTGCTAGATACATGCCCTGGGTCTTTCCCCCAGAAATCACATTCATACTATTTTCTCTAGCTAAGCTTGCTTCTCGTTCGAGCGCCGGGCAAACTCGCAAAACTCAGTACTCTATGAAGTCAAGGTAATCGGCGAAGCCGTCGTATATGAAATATCCATAGTGTCGTCTACGAAATCCAACTTCATGAAATATGTATGTAACCAAACACAAACTACTTCTTGGAAGAACTCGAGCCCGTATCTCCCCGCACATACGCCTGTCTCTCCATCTGTGCCTTCGCCGCCTTGGCCTGCGCCCGAAGCACTTTCTCCTCGCTCCACCATGGCGTGTCGCGGTCCACGAGTAGGGTCCCACACTCAGTGCACCTGATCTTCTCCTTATACTGATTGGTCCCTGCTCTCGTTCGCTTGTCCGTCGGGTGCTCGCACAGGTCGGGGTCGATATACTTGCTTTGGTCCTTCGTCCTGTACTTCGTGTTCGTCGGACTTGACTTCTTGGTGTACTTGGTTTTGCCAGCTTCCTGGGTTGCCTTCCGACACACTGCACATTCGTCGATCACCATGCGGTACGCCTCCAGAACTCCGTCCTCCAGCACGTCTCCGAAGTCACTCTCGATCTTCTCGTAGGGAGCGTGTCCGGTCTTCTCGTGTAGACGGTATGCCTTCTGCATAAGCTTCTTAGATGGCGTCGGCGGTGTCGCCGATGTGGCGCGTACACTCGGGACTTCTTGCCAGCTGCCGTCGTCTATGTCGCTGGGGACCTTCTTGTCTTCGGCCTTGTCCTTGTGTGGCTTCTTCCGTGTCCTCGGCCCGCACTCGCACTGGTCCACCGTCATGCGACACACAGTACACACTACCATGGTAGTCCACGCCGCAGCTGCACCTCCCTGTGGGCTTGCCCTGATCTCCTCAGCGTCGGCCCCCGTCGCGTCCATCATGTAGATCTCCTTCGTGTCGTCGGTGCAATCCAGCTTGGCATTCACGTCTGACTCCACATGCATCTCCATCTCCGATGTGACGTTCAACTCCTCCTTGTCCTCTGGATCCTCAGTCGCATCTGGCTTCTTGATGGTGTGCTTCTCTGCAAAGTCCTTCTCGTAGCGCTCGAGGGCTCCCTTGGTCGGTGCGTAGACCGTCAACAACTTACGCACGTGCGTCGGGATCGTCCGACGCTTCACCACCTGGTCCAAGCCGGACCAGTCGACCATCTCCTCGAGCTTCTCGTAGTAAGTATCGTTCTCGCGCTGGCCCAGCATCATCCGCCAACGTAGGTATGGCTTCGGAGCAGGTTGGACGACCTTCGCATTGTACCTCAGTCTGCGATGCAGTCCTCGAAGTACGTGTAGCCCTCGTGCACGAAAGGCTGATCGGCAGGTCGCTGTCGCTTGGGGTACTTCGTGCGGTAGTACTCCCCCCTGCGTCCCTTGAGCTCCGTCCGTTGCTTATGGATAACCTGGTCCGCCATGAGGTCCTCGGTCAGCCGGTACTCGCCCGTCTGCAGGACGTACCTCATGTAGTCGCCAGCGCGCACGTCGTGCTTGGTGAGGCAGTCGGCGAGCATCTGCTTGGTGTTCACCCACTTGCTCACCACGTTGTTGAACTCGATGTCGTTCCTGAGCGCCTCGATGTCGATGAGCAGCCGTTTCTCGGAGGGAACCGTGCCGCGCTTCTGCAGCAGGTCGTAGAGAGACTTGCAATCCGTGACCTCCACCATGGTAATCGCCTTGACGTCCTCCATGTGGGTCCGGTAACCCAGTCCGTAGTGTAGTTCCACCAGGTGCTGCCTCAGCATGTCGCCACTCTCGACCGCCTCCAAAGCTGCCATCGTCTCGGCCGAAAGGGTACTGCGCACCACACGTTTAATGCGGTGTGAGCGCCACAGCATGGGGGTGATCTTGGTAGGCATCCCGCGCAGGAACTTGTTGTCCTTGTTATCTGCTAGCAGGATGACCAGTCCGGCCTGGCTCGCCGTCTTCGTCTTGCCCACGTTGCCGTGACTTGAGTCCCCGATGGCCACCACGATCGCATCGTCCATGTTGATCTTCTGGAAAGTGATGTCCACGTGGTCTGTCTTGGCGTCGCTCACCGGCTTGTTGAAGTCGAGCAGGTCCTGCACCTTCAGGTCGTTGTCGTGAGCCCTCGTCTGACTCTCCACCAGACGGAACGCCAAGTCCATACGCGTAGAGCGCACCAGCCACTGGATCTGGCCGTTGCCGCTGTGGAGCAACGCCCTCTCCTCAGCCGTGGCCTTCGCTTCCTTGTTCCTCCGGCGCTCGGCCGAAATAGGAATCTTCCCGATGCTCTCCGTGTACTCCCTCTGGCTGCACGTGATGGTGCCGTCGTCGTTCTGCTTGAGGAAGCGCCCGCAGTGGTGAAACCCTGTCCGCGCAGACTGCCACTTGCCGTAGCAGTGTATCTTCCTCAGCGTCGCCACCTGATTCGCGAAGAACTCGGGCGAGCCCGCGACCAAGTCGTCATCCACGTGAGTCCCGATGAGGCCGATCAGCTTCCCGTTCTCGTCGTGGAAGATGAATAGAGCCGGGCACAGCTTGGATCTCGAAGCCCCGGGCAATGACAGGATGGTGTCGCGGTGCTCCTCGTACCACAGTAAGGGTGCGTCGTTCAGCCCGTAGATTCCCTTCTTCGCTTTCAGGATGGTTCCCTCGGGCACGAATGGCCAGCCCATCTCCGGGACTGCCGGTAGACCGCCCTTGGGAGCTCGAAAATAAACACGTCGTGAGCTGTCGAGGTACTTCCCATTCAGGAACGCCGAGTCGACGTCGCCCTGCTCCAGCGCCCAGCCCTCCTGGCTGGCCGCCTCCTGAAGAATCACCGCCGTGGCCGTGTCCGTGAGCGTGGGCGCGTTCGTCTGCAACTCGCTGGCGAGCAGCTGCTTGTCCTTTTACCCGGGAACGATGTTCCTCGACTTCGCCTTCAGCGGGTGCTGCTCGTACGAGAGGTTGCCCCTCGTCGGCTCGTTCTTGTCCGTCCGGACGCGCCGCATCGGCAGGACGTCCGTCTTCTCGACCCCTGCGAGCTCCTCCTCCGTCGGCCATTCCACGGCGTCGTACTGGATCCACTTGCGCCACTCGTCCAGGTCGCTAGCGTCGAATGCTTCCTTCCACTCTGCCGGGATGCTGCGTAGTTCTCGACCTTTCTTAGGTGCAACCTGCTTCTTGGCTGTATCAGTCCTCCTTGCCAGGAATGCATCCCTCGTGCGGTTCTCCACCGCGCGGCTCACCTTGACGTAGAGTGCGCTGTCGTCCCCCATTGGCAGGTCGCTGGGATCGTCAGGAATCCGTGGTAAACGCATAGCAGCCTCCTTGAGAGCTTCGCGTCGTAGTCGAAGACGTTCCTTGTCTTGCAGCCGGTCATCAGGAAGTGGCCTCTTGAACCCCCTTGGTGGTGTGGGTTCTGGCTGTCCTGGCTGTTCGGCTCGCTCAGGTTCATGATGCGGATTACCTGGCACAGCAGCTGCGCCCAGGTCCGTAGAGTGCCCCTGCCCAGCTGCATCAGGTGCAGGTGGGTCGCATGCTGGTCCGTGTACTTGAAGTCCCGGCCCGTCGCCGGGTAGTGGTGGTACTTCTGGTAGCCCTCCAGGTTGAGCTCCAGGTGCTTCCTCTATCACTCGTTCCCTTTTTGGAGTCGCCTCCACTGGTGGCGGTCTCGGAGTTGGTGGGATCGGCTCGGTGCGAGGTACCTTCGTCATTGGCGGGTCGTCTCCAACGTCCTCGTCGTCCGAGTCGTCGTTGCTCCTCTCGCGTCGTGTGCCTGTCTGTTGGCTTCCTTCAGGCCCAGGACCACGTTCGTCGATAAATCCCTTCTGAAGAGTAGGTCCTCCACGCCACTGCGAAAGCTGCCTGACCAGGTCCTCGTTCTCCACCATCTCCGCCTCATCGCGTGATGCATGCCGCACCTGCTCGGGCGTCACGAGCACCGGCACCCCTCGGTAACTCAGGTGCAGTCTCGTGTGGCCCTCCGTCGCCAGCACGATGGCTGGGCCGCGCCATCCCAGCTCGCCCTGGAGCCTCTTGGACTTCACGTGCTTCACCTCACGCCAGTAGAATACCAGCTGGCCCGGCACAAATGGTCCTCGTGGCGGTCGGACTCGCCCGATAGTGGCCCTCCTCACGGCGTCGTCGCTGTCCAGCTCGAAGAACGCCCGGTTCGCCGCTGCACGAATCTGTTCGGCCCGCCGGGGCCCGTCCTCGAAGAGTGCCGCGCTCTGTGCCGCCAGCTGCCTTTGGTCGCCCTCCATCGCCTCAATCAGCGAAGTCGGAGTGCCGGGCGACTTCCCCAGCACGTACTGGTAGGGCGTGAAACCGTTGCGTCGTATGTGGTTGTTGCACGTGCTCGCTATCACTGAAGCCCATACCGTTGGTTCGTCGTTCTTCGTGAGCTGCACGTCGCGGTTCAGGCGCTGGAAATGATCCTTGAAGAAGTCGATGGCACGCTCGACTCTTCCCTTCAGCTGAGGCGCCTCCGCCGGGACCGGCCTCATCAGGATGTTGTACTTGTCACCGATCTCCGCGAACCGCTTCGTGATGTGGCCCTTCGCCGCGTCGTAGTAGAGCACCTTCGGAGGGCCTGCCCACGACAACCAACCTTGCGAGAAGCACCGTAGGCTCTCCTCGCCCGTAATCGATCGCACAGCTGTGGTCGGAACGATCACCCTGAAGCTCGAAGCGTCGTCCAGGATAACCATGACCATCAGCCGCGTCCCGTCCGAGAGGATCACCTCGGCCTCGTCTAGGAACACGTTCTCGTTGAACTCCGTCGAGAGCTTCAGATTGGCTGACCTCGTGGTGTTCGGCCTGCCCAGCTCCTTGCACACGGTGCAGTCCAACTTGTCCACCGCTTCGAGCACCTCCTTCGACACCCCGTAGGACTTCAGGCGTCGCTTGAGGGCGTGTGCAGACGGATGGCTCAGGTTCAAGTGGAGCTTCCGAAGAGCGCCCCACTGGGCCGTAGTGATGTCCGGGGGCTTATCCCCGAAACCTTTCCCCTCTTCGTGTAGGTCTCGATGTACTGCGTCTGCGTCTCGATCGTCTGGCTTGAACTCCTTCGGCGTGGCTCCATAGGCAAACACCGTCGCAGGGTAGGACGTCTGCACTTTCGGCTCCTTCACGTAGATCGCCACGACCGTGTCCGAGGGATACCTCTCCGCCAGGTCGATCGTCTGGAAATCCAAGTCGTCCGCGTAGGCATCCGAGTAGTCGGCCAGCAAGCCCTCGCTGGAGTACATCGCGTAGATACGCCGTACAGCTCCTCGAGGTAGTGGTATCTCCTCGGTGCCCCTCAGCACGCGCACGTCGATCAACTCCTTTCTCAGCTTGTATGCCTTCGCAACTCCATTCACAGTTGGTCGGCTCGGAATCTTCTCCCCGTTGTTCCAGATCCGCAGCTCCTTCAAGGTCGTGCGCATCGCCAGCTCGTGCGTCCCGGCTTTGACCAAGGTCTTGCCGAGCTCCTCCGGCCACGCAGCCGATCGCGAGAGCATCGCGCTCCGGCCGACCGTCTCCGCATGTGCGTGACCTCCGTCACATCTGCGTTCCAGCCAGGAAGGAAAACACGACCCATATGGTACCAGCATGCGCGTCGCCTTCCGAATCGGTGTCCCGTTCTCGTCCACGAGCCCGTACATGCACTGGTGCAGCGTGACCGTGTCGTAGGATGGTGGCCGGTCGTCTTTCCAGCTCATCAGGTCCGTCATCGATTCTTGGTTCCACGCTCGGCTCGTCAACGGATTCTCGCCGATACCGATTCGTCCTCCTTCAGCCTGTAGTCGAAGTACGTCCGCCGAGAAGCTGACCAGTGGCGTAAACTCCTCGACCATGTCATCGACCCAGTCGCCCATACCCTGCGCCCGCTGAAACTCCTGCATGTTCGTGAAGGGCGTACAAGGAAACGCGACTGAAACCATCCAAGGCTTGAAAATCTTGATCATGAACAGGAAATCGGAACAAACCTTGGGGTCATTGAAATTCACACCAACCGACAGATCTGAAGGGGTCGCATTCGCGTGACCACCTCTCGAGGCCGCTCTAGTAAAGCGAGCCTCCTTTGCAAACAGCTCCCAGAGGAAGGTCTCCGAGTTGTCACGCAGCACGTCGAATATCACCTCGTACTCCTTCATGAGCTTGTCGATCCGCTTGACCGTGCTCTTCTTGAGAATGCCCTTGTTGCCATTCTTCAAGGCCTCTGCGACCCACGCGTCGGCGTCGTCCTTCAGCTGGAAGTTCGGCTTGACCTCCTGCAGCGTCTCCGCGACCAGGAACACCTCCGGCTCGGGGTCGACCTGGTGGATGCGGAACTTCTCGAAGAGCGGCTCCGTCTCGTACGACTCCAGGTCGTAGTCGAAGATGTCGATACCCGCGTGGCCGCCTGGAAGCTTCACCAGCTCCTTGTCGTAGACCCCCAGCTCCTGGAAGTCCGCCCAGTGGCCGTCCTCGCGTACGTAGAGGTTCGTCTTCCAGTCGGCCAGGTTCTTCCTGCTCGTGAGGCCGACCATGTCACCAGGGATCTCGAAGTACTCCTGGATAGCGTGGACCCTCCCAATGCCGATGGGGATGATCCACTTCTGCTTGGCTTCGCGCTTGGCACCGCCGAGCCCCTTGAACCTCTGCGTGGCGTCCACCTTGATGGGCTTCAGGCCGTACTTCGCGAGCTCGGTCTCGACGCGGTCAAGCCAGCCGCGCCCGGCGACCGCCACCGACGCGCCGCTGTCCACCAGGGCTGCCGGCACGGCCTCCTTCGAAACCAGCACCTCCAACTCGAGCCTCTCCGGCACGATCGGATCGCTATCCACGCTCACCGTCATGATGTCGTAGACGTCCTCAGCGGTCTGCACCGCGGCGCTGTCGGCCAGCTCGCCCACAGCGGTCATCTGACCCACGAAGTTCACGCACGCCGGGACGGCGCAGACCAGGGTCGTCATTGCCCAGAAGCCGTAGCGTCGTGGTCGTTGAACTCCCTTCGGTCCCTTGCCGCGGCCCTTGGGCTTGCCCGTCTTGCCAGTAGAGCCGCCAGTTGGACAGTTCGCCGTGTCGTGGTCCATCCGGCCGCAGTTGGTGCACCTCTTGTCCTTTGACTTACCCTTGTCCTTTCCTTTGCCAGGGTTGCCTTTGGAGAAACTTCGTCCGGCCGCCTTGCCACCAGCAGCCGCGCTCTCGTCCACGACTCCGTCGATTCTTCCCTTGAAGAACCCGCGAGCAGCCCGAAGCTTGTTCATCTTCAGGCGGCTCTCGCGCAGTGTGACGAGGGCCCTGCGGTAGTCGTCGTCCTCGTCGGCCAGGAACGTGTCCGCGTCGTCCTCGATGAAGAACAGGTCGCTGCAGTCCCAGCCGTTGTCGTCACCCTCGTCCGTACACACGTGGATTCCACGCTCATCGTCCCATTCATACCAGTATCCGTCATCGTCCTGCACCCAGTATTCTCCTGGATCCTCTTCGTCGGGTGGCTCCTCTTCGGTGTTCATCGTCCATCTCCAGCCCGATCTGACTTGTCCCCGGTGCTTCGCGCTGCCGCGTGGGAAGAGGTTCTTCAGCGTCATGCTGATCTTCTGGAAGTTAAACGTCTCCTCCGCCCGTGCAATCACCAGATTGCGTTCGTCCTTGTCGAGGCCGCTTCGCTTCAGAGTGTGGTACCCTAGCTCATTGCTGCTTATCTTCGTGTCCGGGTCCACCTCCTCTAGGTTACGCTTGGCAACCTCCATGGCCGTGCAGAACGCCGCCATGGGTTCCTCGCCTTTCCGCTCGAAGTGCGTCTGATCGAAGAAGGCGTCGAATGCCTTCGGCAGCTCCCGAAAACTGCTCTTGGCGAAGCGCTGTGCCTCCAAGTATGCCAGCAGCGCTCGGGCCCCCTCCTTCTTCGCGTAGTCCTTGGGGTCCGTCTGCTCGATGAGCACGCTGATACTGTTGTCCGCGCCGAGCAGGTTCCTATACAGCTTGGGGCCGAGCGCTTGTAGTTGATCCTCCGTCTCGCAGCTCAGCTCCGCCGCCTGCACGGCGCGCTTGTACCTCGTGAAATCCTTGAGGGTCTCGCCCTTCAGCACCGGGATTCTTGGATCCACTGCACTGTTTTGATGCTCCGTCATCTCTCCTGGATGGCTAGTCCGTGTCCGTGTAGATTATCTTGATAATCGTTATACTGAAGATCGTGGGGCCAACCACAAGCTCCGCTGCCAACCTCGTTTCTGGTCGAAACTCTCCCGCTCGAGCGTGTCGATGCCGTCGGCGGGAATCTCGAAAGAGAACTCGATCGAATAGCTCCAAGCCGCTATCGCTCCCTCGACCCGTCGCTTCTGCAGTGGGAGAAGGGAAGCGCCTTTCTCTCGAGCCCAAGCGCCGGCGCTTGATACACACATGTACACAAGCGTGCTAGATACATGCCTGGGTCTTTCCCCCAGAAATCACAGAGGAGGAGGAGGAGGAGGAGGAGGAGGAGGAGGAGGAGGAGGAGGAGGAGGAGGAGGGAGGATAACCCAAAAGCAAGAGGAGTGACGCTGGTCCTAGGCCCTGGAGGACTTTTCCCCGCTGCTGGGGGGCGTCCAGAGAGAGGTGGCGCTCCTTTTTAAAACCCCTGGGCCCTCGTCGGGGCCTCGGGGAGGGGTGCCCCTCTCTCCAGAGCCCCCTGGGACCCTCGGGCGCTCCATCCTGGAGCCCCTGGGGGCCCTCGGGGCCTCGGGAGGGGTGCCCTGGAGGCTGCAGCTTGCCCTCTCCGGAAGAGTCCTGGGGACACACTTGGGGGCCAGGGGGGCACCGCCATGGCAAAGCACCCGACAGCAAAAGATGGGAGGAGGAGGAGGAGAAGGAGGAGGAGGCGGAGGAGGAGGAGGAGGAGGAGGAGGAGGAGGAGCAGGAGCAGGAGCAGGAGGATTGGGGGCCAGGGGGCACCGCCATGGCCAAGCGCCCAATAACCGAGACGACATATAGTAAGCGCACGCTTCCGAAGGGGTCCGCGCGGGGCTCTCCCAGACAGGGTCGCGCCGTAAAAAATGCAGGGCGGAAGGTGTTCGCCGTTTTCGGCGCCCCGCGGCCGCCCCCTCCTCCTCCACCTCCTCCTCCTCCTCCCTCCTCCTAATCCTCCTCCTCCTCCTCCCCCTCCCCCCTCTTCCTCCTCCTCCTCCTCCTCCTGGAGGCCCTCGCCAGGCTCCGGGACCGTCAAAAAGAACGACTCAGGAGGAAAAACCGGTCCCAAGAAACGGGCCGGGACTTGCGGGGACCGCGCATGGACAAAAATCAAGACGTCGCAGGTCTGGGTTCGCCAGGATCTCCCCACACCACCCGCAGAAGAGGTGAAGGCATCACGAGGGCAAGTTCGGATGAAGATGGCCTTAGGTCGGGCATGTCCCCCTACTTACTCCAGGCGGATTTGGGGCGCAAATCAAACATACCCCCCACTAATATTCAAAAGCATTCGAAAATGATCAGAAGATCGTTCCCATCGGGCGCCGCGGCCGACGATGTGATCTTCTGGTGCGCCACGCCAGAAGTTCCGACCCCTGAGGCTCCGGGGCCCACCAGCGGGCCCCCCGGAGGCCGAGATCGACGAGCGAGCGGGCGAGCGAACGAGCTGCCGCCGCCGCAGAGGGCGACCCAGACATGGGGCGACGGGCGTGCGCGAGCACGCTGGCCCTTCGGAAAGGACCTGGACAGATCCGCGCGCCGAAAAAATCAGGACCTTCGAGGCCGACTGTGAAATCAGGCCTGTCCCCCTGCAGAGGGATTCGCGACGAAAGATTAAAGATTGGGAAAAAGAATCCCAAGGGGGGAAAAAATATTCAAAAAAATAGTCCCCAGACGATTTTTGTTGGGCAATTTTTGAATTTTTCCTCCAGTAGAGGGACATGCCCGACGGAGGCCGACGGCGGGACCTCTTGGCGCGCCGCCCCGGGAGCCCCCGACCCCCGAGGCCCCCGCGGAGCCGGGCGGCGGGCCCCCCTCCCGGGGGCCGGCACCGACGAGAGGCGCCCATGGGAAACAAGCAACGGGCACACACAAACACGCACACACACACGCACACACACACACACACACGCGCACACACACACACACACACACACACACGCACACGCGCATACACACACACACACACACCACGCACACACACACACACACACACACACACACACACACACACGCACACACGCAAACACGCATACACGCACACGCACACAACAAACAAAAACGTCGCAGATCTGGGGGTCTGGCGCGCTCCAAAACGCTCTCGGAGGGTGCCGGAGAATGCTCGGGGGCGACGGGTCATCTTTCAGGAGAGGAAAAAACACACAGAGACACAAGCAATCGTTGATCCCCCCCCAAGATGCCTGGGGGAGGACGGAAATCCAAAAAATAGATCTACGAGAAAGTCGGGCTTCACTCGTGTGTCTCGGGGCCCCTGCCATCTGAGGCCTGCCGGGCCACACCGCGGCGCACCCTGGGGGCAGCACCAGAGCCGCCAGGGATGGTGGGAGGGGGGCTCAACTCGCCATCGCTCGGACGTCCATTCCCTGTGTTTTTTTTCGGTTTCGTGCGTGGGTTTTTCGCCAAATGATCAAGGATGCTCCTCGATGGCCCTCGCCGAAGGACAAATGCACACGTCCGAGCGATGCCAAGTCAGTGCCGACGCGGGAGGCCCGCAGGCCGTCCCGCGCTCCGCCTCCCCGGCAGCACTTGCGCTCCGGGCACTGCCTGCTTCCCCAGGGATCCGACGTCGTGATTTTTCCAATACGGGATCCCCGGAAGTCTCGACCCATTCCCCAGGACCCAGGACCGGTTTTTCATCCCGAGTCGTTCTTTGACGGTCCCGAGGCCCGGCGAGGGCCCCTAGAGGCCGAGAACTGGGAAAAACCTCCGTCTTGAGTTTTTCAGTGCGTTGGATCTCTGGGTCCCAAGGCAGGATCGCGTCGTGGAAAAAATGCAGGGCGGAGGCCTTTCGCTGCTTTTTCGGCCCCTCTAGAGAGGCCCTCGGCGGGCTCCCGGGAGCGTCAGGAACACGACTCGGGAGGAAACATCGGTCCCGGGGAAATCGGTCGGGCCTTCCAGGGGCGCCGCCCTCCTCCTCCTCCTCCTCCCCCTCCTCATCCTTCCTCCTCCTTCCTTCTCCTCCTGCTCCTCCTCCTCCTCTCTCCTCCTCCTATCCTCCTCCTCTCCTCCTCCTCCTCCCTCCTCCTCCTCCCGCTCCTCCTCCTCCAGGGACGGGACACGTCCAGGGACGCCGTCCTGACAAAATCAGGACGTCGCCTGTCTGGGGAAGCAGCTGGGGCTTTGTGGTCGCACGTCGCTCACACGCAGCGTCCACGGGCTCCGGGACCGTCAGAAAACGACTCGGGAGGAAAAATCGGTCCCAGGGGAATTGGTCGGGACGTCCAGGGGCGCCGTCCTGAGAAAAAACCGCTCAAGACGTCGCCTGTCTGGGACACGTCCAGGGACGCCGTCCTGACAAAATCAGGACGTCGCCTGTCTGGGGAAGCAGCTGGGGCTTTGTGGTCGCACGTCGCTCACACGCAGCGTCCACGGGCTCCGGGACCGTCAGAAAACGACTCGGGAGGAAAAATCGGTCCCAGGGGAATTGGTCGGGACGTCCAGGGGCGCCGTCCTGAGAAAAAATCAAGACGTCGCCTGTCTGGGGAAGCAGCCGGGACTTTGTTGTCGCACGTCGCTCACGCGCAGCGTCCACGGGTCCCGCCGTCAGGCGGCGGAGGCTGGAGAGAAGGGGAGGAGGAGGAGGAGGGAAGGAGGATTAGGAAGGGAAGGGGGGGGCTCGATGGGGCGAGAAGGCAACATGATGGGGGAACGCCCGCGCGTGTTGGCGGCTCTGGCGGCTCGCTCCCTCGCAGAAGCGGGATGCCGCGCGATCTAGGGCGTGGGAGAGGGTCCTCGTCCTCCTCCTCCTCCTCCTCCTCCTCCTCCTCCTCCTCCTCCTCCTCCTCCTCCTCCTCCTCCTCCTCCTCCTCCTCCTCCTCCCCCTCCTCCCCCTCCCCACCCCCCCCCCGAGCCAGGCAATGCCCACCGCGCCCTCGCCGGGGCTGGACAGCTGACGACACGGGCGCCCGGCTCCGCCTGCGCGGAGCGCGGAGGACTCCCTCGCGCTCTCGCGCTCGCCCCCCAGGGGAGCACTTCTCCCCGGGGGGGCGGCGGCAACCAGCCAAACCACCGCACGGCCATGCGCGCCTGCGCACTGCGGTGAGCCAAACAAAACATGAAGCAGAAAAAACGCAAGTTCGTTTGGCATGGACTTCGGCGCGCTCCCCCTTTCGTCCCCAAAGGAGAGGCCACTTCGGGAGAAGAGGAAGGCCCCCGTCGTCGGAAGCAGCCGCCCAGCACCGGGGGACGCCGCCGAGAGGGCGGGCCCGCCTCTGCAGGGCAGGCCACCGTGGCCACGCCTGGGGGCGCCGGGCCCCGGGCCCGAGGCGGCGAGGGGCCAGCCGAAGGCCGTCGACATGGAGGCGACAAGCGGGGAGCGATAAGTGTGGGGGGGCGATTAGTGGGGGGGGGGATACAGTCGAGGGGCCCAAGGACACAGAAACAAAATAGACACAAATGTGTACAAGGATCCCCCCATGCTTTCCCATATCTTTCTGGGTTTTATCTTCCAGCCCAAGTCCCTTGTTTTACAATATATTTTTCTTGGGGATCGAAGATTCAGTGTGGCTGTGCGTTGTCTCCCTCCTGATGCAGGCGCACCTCTCGGGCCCGCAAGGGCCCCTCTTGGGCCCGCAGGGGGCTCCTCTAGGGGGCCTCGAGGGCCCCTCTTCTGCGGCCCTCGCGGGCCCACCCGCTCGTCGCCCCCCCCCCCCCCCCCCCCACGCCGCGAGGCCCCACGGCACGGAGCCTGCGAGGAGGAGGAGGGGAGGAGGATGGGTGGAGGAGGGGAGGAGGCGGAAGAGGAGGCGGGGAAGAGGAGGCGGAGGAGGAGGCGGAGGAGGAGGAGGAGGAGGAGGAGGCGGAGGAGGAAGAGGAGGCGGAGGCGCCGTGCGCGAAGGCCCGACGGCCGTCCTCCAGCAGCGCGCGGCGCGCAGCGGGGCGCAGCGCCGCGCGGGCGCCGGGTGCGCAGGGCGGCCCCCCGCCGAGCGGGTCCCGCCTGCGCGGCGTG